CCATGAATGAGTGCGCGATACGCATGTTGCGAGCAGCGTTGTTGATGTTTTGCGCATCGCCACTGACGGCGGCGCGCGAGAGCTGTTGCGAGTGGTGTTGGGCGAAGCCCCGGGCGCTGCCGGAGGCTGTGCCGTAGTCGGTGCGGTCGACGGCGCTCGGGCTGCCGACCTCTTTGGCGAAGTTGTGGATGATTCTCTTGGTCGGCGGCGCGATGCCGCCCTGGCTTTCGACGAGACAAATTTTGACGATTCCGTTCTTGACATGGAGCGCGTCGTAGTACTGTCCCTTGTGCTCTTTGACCCAGCCTTTGCCGGTCGCATGGACGAGCGGGCCCTGTGACTTGTGGCCGCGCTCTTTGCACCCAAGAACCTTGAGCAAGGTTTGGTCGAGGGTGTTGCCGAAGCCAAACTTGTGGCCCAGTGACGCACAGCATCCGCCGTGTGCCGCCGAGCCCTGCCCAGCCTGCCTCGTCTTTGTGAGGGCGCTAGGCACCTTGACCTCGTAGTGGACATCGCGCTGGGACTGCAGGTCCCCGCCGATCTCACACATGTCGGTGACGTGCCCCTCGTTGAGATGGAAAGTCGTCTGAGGGTTCGCCTTGTCACCGAGCACGAGCTTGCCACAGGCTCGTGCACGGACCATGTTGGCCGCCGCATACATGGTGCCGTTGTGACGAATGTTGTGCTCGCACGGAATGTCCTTCGATCCGTTTGCAAGCTGGTCGCCCTTCCGCATACCGATGGTGACTGTCTCACCAGCCGCCTCCTTGGCGTCGTACACGTACTTGGCGCAGGAAATGTAGTAGCCGTGGCGGCGCTGCAGCGCCGTGGCAAAAACCTCCGAGGTGATTTTGGAGGAGTGCCGGCCGTCGGGGCAGAGGTCGAGCCACGCTCCCGAGGCGAACTGAGAGACGGCGATGAAGCGTGTCGCCTCCCGATGTTTGACGCCGTTCGGGTCGTCCATCTCAGCATCCAGCTGCTCGCAGGCGGCGAGGCAGCGAAGCCACCGCTCGTGCGACGCAATCTGAGCGAGCCTCCAACCAACAACGCCTCCCCGGCGCAGAGGGGCCCCCGGAGGGAGCTCAACCGCCCCACGCCACGCCGCTTGCGGCGGTCCTATTCCCCGCTCGCGGGGCCACTTCGTAGGTAGGTAGGTAGAAAGGTGAAGAACAGCCAGGCTCGGACTGGACACCAACGCGGTTCTTGTTTCTACAAGAGAAAAAAGAAGAGCAAAAAGACAACGAAGTTGCCACGCGCGAACACGCGGCGTCGCACTTCTCCCTTTACACTGGTGCTGCTGCTGCTGCATCCATGATTGACGATCTGAGCAGCAAGCGTCACTGCGCGGCGGGCTCAAACTGGAACCCTGTGGAGGAGCGGTGCATATGTCCAATCGGCAGGAACGGGACCCGCTGCGACTCCGACTCGCTGCCGGCCTGCAGAGCGGCGGTCGGCTCGACCGCCGTCTCATGCACCGTCGGCCGTCCTCAGCATTGCGAGTGCCTTGAGCAGTGTGTCGCAGCGGGTGCGTTTGTCGCGCACATGTACAGGTACTGCTTCACAACGGCCGACGCCGAGCCGCTCTCCGACATCCCGAGCACCGAATCAGCCTTCTTCTGGCGGTGGAATCCGATGGCGGGCTGGCGCGGCCGGAAAGGCCTGCGCGCCGCCACGCGACTCGAGGCCCTCACGCACGAGTTCACGCCCAAACTGCAGCATCTGCCTCTCTCCAACTGCATCGACCGCTGCAGCGAGCGGG